GAAGAGCTGCAGGAAGCCGGTTACATTGAACAGATACCAGCGGCGTTATGAATAAGAACATTGCTAACGAACTACACCGGCAGGCTCGCANTATTGCTAACGAACTCCACCGGCAGGCTCGCAGGACATATACCCGTGCCCGGATAAATATCAAGGTCTCGATGATATATGGCATGCTGACCTCGTGGAAATGCGCGCATACCCTGATCGACGACATCGGTATATTTTAACGTGCGTCGATGGATTTTCAAAATACGCGTGGGCCATCCCGTTGAAAAATAAAACGGCCAACGAAGTTACCGCAGCCATGAACGGAATACTGAAACATGGTCNTAGCTATGAACGGAATACTGAAACATGGTCGTCATCCTAAGCTTTTGCAAACGGACAATGGTAAAGAATTTTACAATAAACAATTTCAAAAACTGATGTCACAATACGCAATCAATCATTACTCTACTTATTCCACGATAAAAGCGTGTCTAGTGAAACGTTTTAACCGCACGCTGAAAAACGCAATGTGGCGTGACTTTAGTGCACGTGGCTNAAAACGCAATGTGGCACGACTTTAGTGCACGTGACTCGTACAAATGGGTGAATCGGTTGTCTGCGCTGTTGCACGACTACAATAACGTGCGTAAACATAGAACAATCGGAATGACACCGGTGCAAGCGGTGAAAAACCCAGACCTGGTTCGGTTCAAGTTGCGTCAAATACCGGATAATTTACCGGTAAAATTCCGTGTGGGAGACAAGGTGCGGATAAGTGTACATAAATCAGTGTTTGATAAGGGTTACTTACCAAACTGGAGCACCGAACTGTTTACCGTAGTTAAGGTTAGTCAAACAGTACCGCCAACATACTATCTAGAAAACTATCAGGGAAATCCAATACGTGGTTTGTTTTACACCGAAGAGCTGAACAATACCAGTTATCCGCACATGTATTTAGTCGAACGAGTGTTGCGAACACGAGGGGACCAGTGCTTCGTTAAATGGTTAGGATTTGGTCCAGAGCACAATTCATGGATACCCAAAACCAATATCTCACCTCAATGATTGTCGATATACAAGGTATTGTGGCAGCCGACCGATCGTGTTACGAGAGTAACAAATAGAATAAAATAAAATAGTATTGCCGAATAATTAATTAGTTTATTAAAAATAAAAGTGATAGTATTCATACAATAATTGTCAAATGACTCACGATGCTCTGCATTACAATCGTCGCAGTCGGCCCACTTCCCGGTTTTGCAACACCGAAAAATACTTTATAGACACATTCTTTTAGGCCGACCTCAATTACAATTCAATTTATGATTATCTGTTATTACAATTGTGGGACAATATTAAAACTAAGTTAAGTATTCATAACACTCCCTCCCTTAAATGGAAGTAGTGTTTGAAATACTACTTACATATAATACTCTTAAATTACAATAAAATAATTAAATTAACAAGACTTCAGACCATACTTTCATTGCAATTTGTACATTGTGCGATATCTGGTTTATATTGTCGGGTGGTATTTTTATATTTACACAATGCATATGAAGTTAGAATTACTATTATTAGAAAGAGACAGTAAAGAAATGGGATATGAGTATTTAAGATGAAATGATCGGAAGACTCTGCTATTGTGGATTCAAGATTATTGAGATCTATTGAGTCATCTGCTAATTGATTCAAATCTTGAATGAAATTATTTTCTGTTAACGGTTCAGGCTGATATTTAGAAATTTTATTAGTTATATTAGAATTCATGTAAACTAAAGGATTCTCGGGAACAAAGTCTTGGGAGAAAACAGAAATAATGTTTTGAGATGGTAATAATACTGAAGTTTCGGTACTCACAGTANCGAACAAAGTCTTGGGAGAAAACAGAAATAATGTTTTGAGATGGTAATAATACTGAAGTTTTGGTACTCACAGTACAAGACTTATCCACTGTTATTTTACCAATGGTATTAATA